GCAGAATAATTTGATATTTTCAAAGAAAAATTCTCACAAAAGATGCGTCCCATATCTTCTTGGGTTACCCCAAAAGTTTCAACAAATGCATTGCATCTGCCGCTCCTTTTCTTAAATGTGAATGTTTGATCCATCACTTACTCTAGTCAGACAGGTCTGCCCGAAAAATGCAAGCAGGAAATTAAAATAATGAAATGAAAACGAAAGGAAGGAACAACCCCTAGTTGCTCGAATTTCAACAACAGAAAACGGCATCGAGGTTGCAATGGATGTCAAATCAGTAATTAGCTTAAGGTTTTACCCCATTGTCGCCTGAAAAGGCGCATAGGCCGTCCTGTTCCACCCACCCATCCACCCACGCACACACACACGGTAACCCACGTTAGACTTAATTTTGATCAGGCTGACTGAAACTTAATGTTGTCATTTCAATTAATCCGAGCCTCATTGGCCATAAGTTTAAAATCGGAATTCAGGGTTACAAAAATGGCATAGCCAAGTAGCTCCCTTTTCAAACTCAATGCTTCCAAAATGTACCTGTTATTTCAAACTGGTTTTTATGGGTAGTTCAGTAACGCCTCCTGGGGGGATGAGGGCATAAAACAAGACCCTTCCCCCCCTAAAAAGTGAATTCGGCAAACACGACTGACATACAGGAAAATTTCAAAGTGATCATAATCTCACAAAACATGCAGTTTTACTATTTAGTTCCTGAATGTCACACACACAGACTGGACATATTATGTAATATGCAACACAAAGCTTGAGGGCGCTATTTCAAATTAATGTGGGAGAAGCACAGTTGTAATTGGACGCATTTCACCAAATGGTTGGAATTCTGCGCGCAAGCTCATTAGTAATTGGTGATCCCTCGGTTTTGTTTTTACAATAAAGCATGCCATAATCAGGAGAGATCATGGAAATATTTCTATAAATCCCGAATTTTGGACTGGTATTTTCCAGGTCTGGATACTTCTTGTACAAAAATCCCCCAAATGGCGGGCCCATTATGGACAGAGGCGGGCGGCTACCTCTAGAGTTTAGCGCATAGTCTTACTACTATTTTAGGAGCATCTTTGGGGAAAGGCGAATAAAAACTTTTTCGCGGCTAACCCCCATCACATTGAAACGAAAAGTGATCTTCTGGCCACAATCTTGAATTTGCAGTGAAAAAATTGGAAATAAAATTCATTCATATATTAATCAGCTTAAAAAGTTGAGCTCACACCCTGACTAGACTTGATTTCCGGTAATTCACTGCTGCCTACACCTCAACCATTATTCTTTCCAAATTTATTCATTCCAGGTGAGGAATTCAGTTTTTCTTCAAAGTCTGACGATTGGATGGAGCACGACAACCTCAACCGGTTTTTGAAAAACTCCATTTTGAAAGTAGACGCAACGAAATCCGCAGCGCTCGTCATTTTCCCCTCCTGAAAAAACGCATACGCGGGAC